TCTCTCTCTCTCTCTCTCTCTCTCTCTCTCTCTCTCTCTCTCTTTATTTTATTTACTTTCCTAAAATTCTTCTGTTTTGTCCTGTTTGCTTGATATTCTTTTCTCTAGCATTTCTGTGTGCACAGTGTTATAGTCATTAGCTATATAGTTCGCACCTTTAGTACGACTATCGCATTTTACTTTCCTTCTTAACTATTGAAATATTTTTTCTTCTTTAATTTTCTGCATGATCTATATTACTGTCAAAACATCAAAATTAATCACCATTAAGATGTTTCGCTACATTATTTTAAGAGGCCAATATGCTCTAAATCTAAATCTCATCAAAAAACTTCATCTCTCTTTCAAATTCCGTTTCAAATTCTGGCTTACGTTGCGAGTGCAGAAGACACCACCTTTGTGCAGCAGACTTTGCCTTTTCGATTTTCGATTTGCTTTGCTTATTCGCGTTTCTCTTTCGTTGCTCTCTTCTATGAAATTCTCTTTCCCATCTTACTTGCGTTAGGCATTTATCTTACTTTTCCTTCAATTTATCTTTATTTCTATTTCCATTTATTTCTCTTGCTTTTATATTAAATATATCTTCGTTGCGTTACTTAAAATCTTTCGCTCGTCCTACTTTGATGCAAAGTTGAGCATAAATTTATTCTATTCTCGATTTAATTGCGTTACTCAATATAATCTTATACCAAGTTCATTTTTATATATTTGCATCTTTCATATTCCCATATTTCACAAATCCTTTACATGCATTATCTTGATATATTTTTGCAAACATCTTCCATTGTTGCGTTCGACTATAAATAATTTGTAAAATTTTGTATTATACTCTCCCCCCCCAAAGGATTTTTAATCCCTCAGGATTAATTTATAAACTCTATTCTACTCTATTCTGCTTTGTTGTCCCTTTTCCTCCTCCTTCTTTCTCTCTCTCTCTCTCTCTCTCTCTCTCTCTCTCTCTCTTTCTCTCTATTTCTATTGTTCTCTCGTTGGAAACGAGAGGGAGAGAACATGTCTCTCTCCTTTGTGAGAATCAACATCTCGACAATTCTTCGCGGCTAATCTCCGTTTGACGTGACAGCTGAGATACACCGAAGCACGCTCGATCACACGCATTCATTATCGTACTTGCATCGCTGCGTGTAAACCGAAATATCTCGCATAGATCCGAGAGAGAGATGTCTTCGCTCTTCCAGGCACCGCGCGCACACACTTGCGTAATGCCGCGCAATGCAAAATACTTTGCTACCTCCCGTGTGTGATTATCTCAATATTTTACTTCATAAGAACATAACGAGGACACTAATTAATCATTGTGTATATATTATAATAAGTCCAGGTGTTTAACGCGCAAGCTGTCTCAAGAATTACCGTTAATACGCCGTTTCGTCACACTCAAAAAAATCGCAGATCCCATCCGTACGAAAATCTCGTAAATCCTGCGCGAAGTGATATATTATAACAATTACGCGGAAAAAAAAAAGAGTTCTCTACGGCAGCGAGAATCTGTGTGCGCTAACTAAATCTCGCTGTGTAATATATACGAGAAAAAAAGATCTCGCTATGTAACATATACGAGAAAAAAAAGATCTAAGAAATAAAAAATTCTTTTTTCGCACGATAAACTGTAAAATTAAGAATTTATATGAAAAAATAAAACTATAATATTCTCTTCGTGTAAGCACATATTTATCTACGAAACCGATGTAGCAGCAACAGTAACAAAGGTTTCAGTGACAGCAGTCAATTTCTCGCAACAGGAACAAATGCATTATGATGATATCATGATTAGATGAAATATTCTCTTTTCCCGCGTAATAATATAAAAAATAAATTTCCGCGGCTCTCTCGATCTTTCGCCGGCGCTTAGCGCGATTGACAGAAACACGGCGCTATAATCGGGCGAGAAATCACGCGTCCCTTCCTTTTTTTCTCCTCAACGTCGGGAAATCAATTTCTCATTAATTACAGCACGGTGGGGAGATCCGTCTGTCCTTGACGCCTACAATGGATTTTTTTCTCTCGAACCGCGAAGTCGCGAACCGGCTTTATTATACATTCGGCGGAGCGTGCTCGACCTTCGGCATTTCTGCTATCACGAATTTTATTAAAACGACCGGATTATATAAAAAGAGACGACTATATTCTCCTGCGAAATTGCAACGACTCGCCGGCGTGGAAGAGTCGCGCTGTCGACATCGTGCGACGTGATGACTGGAAAGTGAGCGCGTATCAGCGCACAGGACGCCAGGACGCATTCCTCGAATATTTATGTTCGAAATTTAATTTGAACAATAAGAATTATCTCGACAGGAAGTACTTTTAACCTCCCCTCGTTCGACTGAAGAATACTAGTGCTTTCGTATAAGCGAAATGCCACGCCTGTTATTGATTAAATTTTTTAACGAAAATTTAATTACTACTGCATCAATATAGCTTCATAAAAACGATTAAATGTATCAAAACGTTAATTTGTCGAACCAGAGTTATCAAAACTTAATTTTGATAACAGCGTGAGTCGTATTAACTTCACGTGTTTACTCGCCATGAGCGCACGCTAACACTTCCAGAATCTATTAACAAAAGTTATACTAACGAAAAAATGACTATACAGATATAATCTAAAAAGTCGTAAAAATAAGAAGAGTCAGAAAATTTTAAAGACAATTTTTAAGCCACTTTTATATAATTAGAAAATAAAATTTCAGCTGAACGCGCTCGCCTCATACGAGAGTAATGGTGGGCTAACGTGTATTAGTAAGTTATACTAACGAAATTAAGAAAACGCGACCATAGAAATATAATATAAAAAGTTATAAATAAAACGTCAGAAAGATTCAAAGCCAACTAGTTAAGCCACCTTTATATAAATAGGAAATAAAATTTCAGCGAAGTGTTCGCTTCCTACGAGAGCAATGGAGGGTTAAATAGAGAATGACTTACGATTGGTAAACGAATCTCTCCGCCTCGATAGCCGAGCGTACTCTTGCTTGCAGGTCATGATCCACTCCGTAAACGTATTCTGCAACAGAAATGTACACAGAGATTAGACTTGGAAAATATATATTCTATATATTAACGAACAAACTGATTATGTATATTCCAACTTGAAATTTTTGCTTTCAACTAAATTCACTACAGATAATTATTATAACAAGAATTTAGTTTCTTAAACCCATATTAACAGTCGTCACTTGAAACTTGTCCCATGTGAGACACTCAAATACGAATTTAAAGTTAGATCTGACTTTTTCAGTTAAATTACATGATATATGCGACATTATATTTGCAATCGTGATTCCACTGAAAATCTCACATTTAATTCTAATCTCAAATCTGAGTATCTCAGGCATTTTTAATGTTTTTTTTTTTATTTTTTAGATTATTTCTCCCTCGAAAAATATATCATTCTTAGCAGAATCTTCTCATGTTATGGTCTCAAGAGAACCAAAAGAAAAATATCTGAACATTTAAAAGAAAAAAGAATGTTATGGTCTCAAGAGAACCAAAAGAAAAATATCTGAACACTTAAAAGAAAAAAGAACTCTATTTTCAAAGTACCATTTCCTATGACTCCATATTTTACACGAAAACTTTTATCATAAAAATATTTTTCTTCTAATAAAGCGAGAAGAATGAAGAATTCTTCTAATAAAAATAATATTGTGTTCAAAATATTTCCCTTTCAGTTTTAGAAAAATTCCGCGAAGGATGAGATTATATTTTTACGGGTAAATCTATCGTTCCGGAATTAAAGCGTAATTATTCAAACAAGACACGGATAAGACACGTGAATGAAAAATACGACGTGAGTAGGCAATGATCTTAAGGAATTCATTCACTAGATATGTATTTTTAGTGATGCGTCAAGGGAACTACACATAAATTCATTTTTTATCAAACAAAATTATGTCCTCATATATTTATTTCATTATTTAAATAATCAAATGTCAATATGAAACTAATTTCATGATACTATCTTGCCACATTCCCCTCAATATAATACCTCAATACAATGTTACTCAAAGCACAAAACAGCAATTTTCTGGCTTACAACCGATTATTACACAAAAACGATGCAGAGTGAATAATATTCCTTCGTCTATGTCGCGTTCCCTTAAAATGCAACATTTATAACGCTAAGTTTTTATCTAGATTGTATCGCTTTTTTTACAAAGTTATACTGGAATTATCGTGGAGTTATACTGGAATATACTGGAGCTATACTGGAATTATATCGTGTATATTGCTTCTACTATGATGGTATGGGTGCAAAATTGTGATATTCAGTATCAAATTTCTCACGAACAGTACAGACAAATCATATGAAATTTCAACTACGAATCTGTTCTACTGCGATAAATGTTACGTTAGATTTTCGTATGATTTTTAAACGTTTTCACTTTAAATAAATAAACTCCTTAACTGAAATCACGTTAACCAATAGAGGAATTCCTCGCGTTCCAATTGCTGTTGTAACTTTACAACGTTACGATAGTAACGTCCCATCCTACGCACCGGCGTGTGTGGGAGCGGTCTCACGATTGTCTGGCATTTCCTTGAAATTTGTAACACCGTCAGTCCGTCTGCTCCGTTACACAATTCAGTATTTCGACAATCCGGCTCTTGAATAAACGATAAACTCGTAAACCGGCGTAATTCAAAAGATACATCGCGAATTATGCAATCCCGAATTCTCGACGAGATGCTCTCGACCTGTTCCATTCTCATCTCTGAAACATCTCATTTCCATTTCGTCTATTTTAACTAAATGAGATGACCAAATTTTAATTAAGTAAGGTGATTATACACGCATACTCACTCACTCTCATACACACACATACACATACAGATTTTTCAGCCCTAAATCCGGGGCGTCTGTGAAGCTGGCACGTTTTACAAATTAAAAAAAAACAATAATAGTTCTATTAGCATTTTTAATAGTTCTAGAGTTCTAGATAGAAAACAGAAAGAGTTCCGCATTTTTGATACTGATGAAAAACAGCAAATAAAAAATTGTGCTAATCTAGTTTCGCAAACCTAGCACGACACTTCCCTTCTAAAGTATATATAAGAAATAAATAAATATCACTACTTTTAGCAAGAGTTCCCGTCAGTACTGATCGAATTCTATCAATATGTTCAATTAAAAAAAATTTCAACAATTACGCCTTTTTCATAAACTTCAAATACTACACTCAGCACGACACTTACGAGAAAAAATATCATGCAGATCATATCTGACCGTCTATTGACAGTTCTCGTTACTTCTAGGAAAATTCTAGTCCCTACGTTCAAATTTAAAAAGAGTTCCGACAGCTACTTATTGTTAAATAATTTTTATTATATATATGAAATATTTTGTTTATAAACACATATGAAAAATGATTTAACAACAGTGTAGACCTACTACACATAGTAGATCTACACGTAAGACTGATTTGACAGATACATCCTGGAAAATGCTAAAGAATCTCCGAGAATCGCAAAATTAGTCAGCGTCCTGCACGCGTCTATTTTCTTGCAAGTGACTCAACGTTCGTGTCCAAAGGTGACGCCGCCGGGGTTGGCCAATTATTTATGCAGATATCCAAAGTATGCTAATCAATGGCTCACAATTCTCTTTGTGTATATTTCTTTTTTATCGCTCCACGGAACTACACTACGAGTTTTTACAACCATAGCGAAGTATGTTGTTTTCATTGTACTATTTAACTTCTAACATTTGATATTTGATACTTAAACTTCTCCGCGTACCATGTCGGATCGGTGAGGCCCGAAGTAAATATTTAATCAAACAGATCTAACAAAATAACGCAAATCTGTTTGCAGATTTCCATTTTATTGCGCTATTAACTCACAATCAAGGCTTTTTTTATATATCTGGCAAACAAATTATGTCTAAAAATACGGGTTTTCGAGAAAGTTATGACAGTTCAAATTGCCCAAGTCTGTCATACTCAACTTGAGCTGTACGTTTCAAAAAACATGGTTGTGGAGTGTTAACATTTCACCAGATAATTTGAATATCGTATGCTGAACACATCGCTACTGGACATATGCTAAAATACACAAAGAAAATATTGTAGTAAAAATTATGTTATATTAATTACGTTAAATTATATTATATTATATTTATTTTTACAATTTTTTAAAGCTTTTTTAAGCTTAAAGTTTTTTTTTAAAGCTAAACTGTACTAAAATTCTACGCAGAAAAACAGTTTGGCGATTAATCAAATTTCTGGTGAAATGTACACAAATCAGAAAATCCCTCGATTTGTATCTACCAGAATTTTGTTTAACTTAACAAAATTTCTAATTAATTTGAATAGAATTCTAGTAAGTTCAACTTACTAGAATTTACTGGTTCGTTTATATTTCATCAGAAATTCGGTTAATTTAACTAAATGTTTTTTTATGGGCAATAAAAAATACTAGAAATAGTAAACTTAACAATCTCTCTAGCCGGTATACTATATGAAGAACCTCCAAGTAATATCAATTATTTTATAGCAAAATATCGAATGTGCATAACATTTTTAAACAAATATACGTAATTATTAATTAATTAAATAATTTCATAAATTAATATTTATCTTGTAATTAATTATATATTTAATATTTTATTAATTTAATATTTATCTTGTAATTAATTATATACTTAATATTTTATTAATTTAATATTTAACTTAAGAAGTCAATAATTTAATATTTAACTTAAGAAATTAAGTAAAATAATTTCATAAATAAATTTAAATTAATTTAAATTAATAAGTCATAAAATTTCAAAAATATTGTTGCAATTTTTACTACAATATTTTCTCTGTATATGTAATAATCATAAAAAGAAATTTAAACGCCTATATTTATATCCTCAATTTGAGGTAGTCTCTAATCAATTATCAAATATACGAGCAACACTGCTCCTATTTGCAACCGAAAATACTCGGTTCAAACCGATCGAATCAAACCGATAAATTCAATTTCACGTATTACGTGTGTTGCCCGCGACGGGCATTTGTCGGATTTTATTAATCGTCTCGCTGTACACGACGGATATATCCGCTCGATAGGTTGCGTATGTTCCCGGGTACGTTCACCATAATTAACCCTTCGCAAGATCCAACTCATTATCTCCGTACAACTACATAGATCATTCGCGGTGTCGCAAGACGTCCGGTTGAATTTTCCCGACGAACGGAGCCGCGCGCGCGCACGTTAAATCAAATAATCGAACGTAGAAAACACGCCGCGATATCCCTCTTTAAGGGGATGCCACACTTGAAAACTTTCCCGACGAAATGCAGACTTTTTTCTGCAAAGTTTACGTTGCGTATTGATGGCATAGAATTACAAATGTTTTCACACACAAAGTACGAGCAATAATAAATCGGAGCATTGCTCAGTATATGTGACAAAAACGATAAAAAACTTTAAAATTAACATCTCGAGCTGTGGATTGGTCATTAAATATTTACTTGATGCGGAAGTTCTGCAGCTTATACGTATCGCTCGTTTGCTCCGCTAATGAACATTTTACGGAATATTTCTGTGCGTATCTTTACGACTGATTTAGAAGCTCAAAAATGTACGGACTGTTTGCAAAAAGATTTCTACATTCACATGATTATATTTCCTACTTACATAGTAAAACGAAGCAACACGCATTTATATTAAATCTATGTGCAAAAGAAATAAGAAAAGAATAGTATTAGTATATAGTTAATAATATTAGTGACGATCATCTCTATGGTATCGATATTTTCCGAGTTCGTTACCCATTTCAGCATCCCTTTGGATGCTAGAGTCGATGACAAACTCGAACAATGTCGATAATGCAGAGACGATCATCACTAACATAATCACTGTCCTTTTCGTATTTCTTGTATATACAGAACTTACATGAATGTGTGTTGCTTTGTTTTACCATATTCAACAGAAAACCTAATATGTGTAGAAACCTATATATGTTTAGAAATATTCTTGCAATCTTTTTCGATATTCTTAAGCTTCCAAATGCAAATGCGGAGATAGAATAATGTTCTTCAAAATTTTTCTGTTTGGAGCATCCACACTTTCGGCGTATACAAGCTGCGGAACTTTTGGATTAGACAAATATTATACTAACTGACAGCTTTAGATTTTACATTAAAAATTATTTGTTTGTTTTCGTCACATATCGAGCAATGCTCCATTTATTTTTGCACGCGCTTTTATTGCGTAAAAGCAATTTGTAATTCTGTAACCAATACGACGTAAACTTTGCAGAAAAATGTCAATGTTCTATCGATAAAGTTTTCAGCTTCAGCATCCGCTTAAGAGAATGCTGGAGTTGAGAAAGCCAGAATACTGACTTTTTCTGCAAAGTTGTAGTATTTGCTGCACAGAATTATAAGTAACTTATACGATAAAAATACGCAAGAATGAGTTGTTCAATATGACAAAAATAACAAAAGTTTCAAAGTTGACATTTCGAGTATAAATTGGCTCATCAGACGCTGTTAGATAAAATAAAGATTCGTCTGGTCGTAGATGTATATCTACCTTGTATCTTGTATATGCTGAACGCGAGTTTACTCCGCTCAGAAAAATTTATAATAAGACATTGCCGTACATCTGAATTTAGAAGCTTCAAAATATCGGAAAAATTTGCAGAAAGATTTGTATATATGTGTGGTTAGATTTTCCGCTAAAAATGTGCTGAAATGAAGCAACACACACATTTACATAAAATCTATGTACAAGAAATATGAAAAGTATAACATGATTATATTGTCTCGCTTCTAAATCACATCGACATTTTTGAAGTTCGTTATCCACTTTAGATCCCCTTAACAATGTCAAACTGCTCGCGAAGGCATTATGAAAGGATTTCGTGGCGAGTTCGCGGCGAAATCTCTTCGCGGTCGCGAAAAACATTAGCGTCTCTACGCTAAAAGTTGCGTGCCGGACGATTGAGTGTAACACGATAACGCAATTGTCTTGTCTTTTATGTTCTTTATTGTAACTGAACGATCCTTTTCCCGTTAAATGAATGATGATGATCGTTATTATTTTTTTTTTCAACGTGAGACACGATATTTTACTGCATTGAGGAACATTTACCGGAAATATCGAATTGGCTGACCGTCGGCGACAACGCTGACACCACGATGAACAGTGCGCACAGCAGTACCAGGCTGCTTCTGAAATCCAGAAAATAATAAAGTTATTTTTCAAAGGATTCATTTTAAATTGTGATATGTGTACCACAGCGAAAAACATCATTATTACGTTAGCCTGCGAATGTCAATACGACAGAGAAGAATGAGAAATAAAAGGAAAAAGGCGGGATTACGGTGACGCGAGGCGTAACATAATTTTCTAAGATAATTATCTGTTTCTTTGCGCGTGACGTCGCGAGTTACGCAACGCTCTTACAGGTCCATATCGTAAAACGCAATTAATTTGCCGATGCACGCGAAGCGCACTGGATTCGTGCGCGCGCGAATTAATTTTGAGGTATAGGAATCGATGTTATCCCGACTAGAAATTTATCCCCTGGTCCTGATTAAATTGATCCCTATCAGATATTTGATTTGTATAAGGTGATGTTATCAAATCCGAATTATTAATAATCCTTATTATTAATAAGGTCCTGATTGCCAAGCTGCATTATATGACTTATTAGGACTCGAACATCATGCTGAGAAAAAATGCTCGAAAATTTATTTGTAGAATACAAAGTTTATTTCTTTGAAATATAGTTCATTTCTGCAAATAAATTGTATACAGTATACTTATAAATAAATTTTCAAATATTTTTCTTAGTTATCTTAACTTTATAAATTTTTTTCCTTTTTTCCCTCTCTCTTTTTCTGTTCTCGTTCTTCTTTACTTTGTTTTTCCTATTTCTTGTTTTTTTTTAGTTTGTTCCTTTTTCTTTTATTTTCCGTATTTTTAGTTTTTTCTTTTTATTTTTAACTGTATTAATTTAATGTATTGTATTACACAAAGGGACAATTCCAGTAAATAAATGAATTAAATGAAATCTTAAACAAACTAGGCAACTGATTGGAATTAACTTGATCAGAGAAAGAGAGAGGGAGAGAACCACGGAATAAATTTCCAAACGGGATTCTATCGCGCGTGAAAGCGTGTCCTGTCGCGCGATCAGCATGCCTTTCTGTTTATTTATCCATAACGTTAATTAAACACGAATCCCAATTGACTTGGTTTTCACGTTTATATACACGACTTCACTATATTTTTAACAAAGTCAATACTATTCTTCCTTGTTTTCTAGTAGCGACTGGCGGATGAAATTTTTTCAGGCAATGTTACTGTCAACTCAAGGAGAAGTTTCGGTTGGATACAAAGGGAAAAACGTAAGCACCGTGCGACGTATCCTCGAAAATGTTGGCGCACGACAACGACGTCGTCGTGACTTCCAGGTATGACCGTGTGTACTTTCTCTGCAAGAAAGAGACGCACAGAGAGGTGCAGAGAAAGAGAGAGAGAGAAAAAGAAAAAAGAAGATCAAGAGCATGCGAGTAAATTCGCCGCGTTCTCCAACGCGGGGATTCTCGCTCGCTTTGACGGTGTTTGTTCCGGTCTCGATACTCTCGATCTTACGTGACAAACCGTCGATCTTCATCCGCGCGTTTACTTTTGCGCACACATCACGATTATTTCGAATTAAAATGAAAGATGTAACGCACACGCGCACGCATATACACACAAACACAGAACGAGCTAATAATGCACAAGATTACATACGATGACACGAAACATGGCGTAATTCAACCGAGCGTTTAGTCAAATTATACTTGTGAAGAAGCTTTCGATCTCTTCTATCGAATGTCTCCTCAATCGGCCAATGTGGCCATTGACGAACGAACGACCAAGGATATATCCAGCCAAGTTACGTCAAAATCAGGTACAATAAAAAGTAAGCAGAAGATAAGATTCCGGAGGGATCTTTCAGCCCTTTCACCGCGAATCCGTGTACAGTTTGGCAGGGACTCGACGACATACCCGAGAAAATATCGCGGCCGTGCGCGGCGGTCGGTTGAGAGCCGCTGGTGGGATCCGCCGTCGCTTTCAACAATAACACGTAGGTGGACGAACCTACGTGTGTAGCGCCGGTGGGCACCTGCGGGTGAAACGAAATCAGACGGCAAGCTAGGCGCGTCCGGGAACCCCGTTCCCCGAGTGCCAGAGGAAAGGAGGGGAGGAAGGGGGTAAGAGCTCTCACGCTTCCTCCTTTCTGCGGCTCCTCCCGAGCTCCACGGCGCCGACGACGGCGAGACGGTGAGAGTGGCCGCTACGTCAAGTACAGTACGTCGGCTACCACGGGGTTCGCCCCAGACAACCTGACTACGACACGGTGATTCCGGTTACGGTGGGACGGCGGGACGATCGCCGATGGAATTACCGCGTTTGAAACTCGAGCGAGTCGAGTCATCACACGCTTTGGAAGGAATAGAAGCTGAAAGGGACTCTCTCTTTCTGTCTCTCTCTCGCTCTCTCGGTTGCGACATTAGAAATGAAAGTACATATTAGTTCTTACACGCTTGTTGGTTCAAGGGACCGGGCATCGAAAGGGGAACGAAAGGCGCGCGTGGATCGAAACAGCAAGTTGATTTTGAAGGTCTCGGCGAATTCACGTGTTTCTCGACATTGATTCTCTTAAAAAGATATAATCTCATTCGTAATAAAGTTCTCTTATGCAGCGACCTCAAGAGGATTCCCCTAAAAACAAAGAAAAAGAATTCTATTTAAAAAAAAAACTTTCATGCAAAGTACTATTCTTTGCAACCTTATATTCTGGGTGAAGACTTTTTTGCCGGAGGAATACTTCTCTTCTAACGAAGTAAACTATATATTAACTGAAAACTTATTAAATACATGAAAAATATATCTTTTTAAAACGGAATGTCCTCCTATTAGGAGAAATTTCTATTAAGTTTATTCATTTAAAGACAAATGCTTAAAATTATATAAAAATTTAATGTAACATTCATCGCAGTAGAACGCACTCGTAATTCAAGTTTCATACGATTTGTTTGTACCGTTCATAAAAAATTTTGTATTAAATATCGCAATTTTGCACACGTAATTTTGTGTATCCGGCAACTTTGAGCCGCCATGATTTTTAATTAGGAGAGACCAGATCTAGTTGGCCCCAGGGGGTATGTTATTTAAATACTTTTTTTTAATATTCATCTTGTGAAAGGAAAGTGGATATAAAATCGTGAAATGTTCCTTCCAGAATGTAGATACTTTCCTCTGAATTTTATTAGAATCGAAATAATGTTACAGCAAAAAAATAGGAAGAACTGTTTTAATGATAGCAAAGTAAAGAAGCGATAGATATGACCATTATTTCAGTATAACTTTGTAAAAAGTGATATCATCCAAATAAAAAATTTAAAATGCTTTGACTAGCATTGTACTGAGTGAAATGTGGCCATGTGGTGTCATGAAATCAGTTTCAGATTAACATAAATTATTTAGAAAGTGAAATAAATTTATGAAACCGTAATTTTCCTCGATAAATAGTGAATTTATGAGCAACTCTCTTGATACGCCAATAAAAATATGCCGTTTGGACATATTGAAAATACATACTGATGAATAAATTCCTTAAGAACAAGACTTGTGTAAGACTGTAGATAAAAGATGAAATTCCTGTGAACTTTAAGAGTACTGTGCTTAGAATTTTTTTGTTATAATTCTCGAGGAATTTTCCTGTGGCCATACGCAAGAGGATTCCGCTAAAGATAAGATTCTTTTTTAGTGTTCCACCGCAATTCTAGACTCGCGATATGATTAATTGTTTGCCCGCGCGCTTTCGCAATTTTACGGTTCTTCAAGTTTTTGTGATGGGCTCGTTCATGAGGAGAACTCTCCCTTCGCGTGTCCGGAGACCCAGTCCAGACACGAAATGGCAATTCACGAACGTGAGTCGCGGCTCACCTCGATCGGACAGCAATAAAGAGCCGCGTCTTCTTTCGCAAAGTCGAAGTTTATTGCGCCGTCGGTCGCGTAAGGATCCGCGTTGTGCTTATGAGCGCAACACCGCCGACATCCTTTTCATCTCCGAAGTCAGCAGTGACGTTAATATACAGCGCGTGACAATATCACCCGGAGATTAAACGCCGGTATGCATTCGTTCGCACGACCTGACCTGTCTGCTTTCCTGAGCACCATACGAGTGCTTGCAACCACAAGACTCACTCACTCGCTTGCTCGCTCGCCGGCGCGCACACATCGGCGTCGACGATAATTCAGTGTCAGTAGGTCAACGGAAACTGGAGAAATCTTTCTCGAGGACCCGATATACGCACGTGCGTCCTCGGGATCTCGCGCCTCGGGCGCAATGCGTCTCCGAAAAATTCCGCCGCTTCGAGGTGGAACACCTGCGCCAGTCCATAACTCGGAATCAATCGGCGAGAGAAGTGCTTCCATCACACCGAGCCTGAGGAGAAACAGTTCCACTCGTTGTTCCTTCTTCATTAGCTCCGATACCGTTCAGATACGATATAAGAAAGAAATTAATTCGCGGCATGTCTAATGATGTAATTTTATTGAGACAACAGAACGAACATAAGTTTGCCTGAATAATCTGACAAGCATGTCTGACAAGTATGGCTGTCCAGGGCAAGTATTATATAACTCTTCGGAACAGATTCCGATCAGAATTATGCTGTTTTCCCTGAAAAACATGATAGAAATCCAGGGAATCATTCTAATCGGAATCTACATTTTTAATAGTCCCATAAATATCCGTCCAGTTCATATGTCCAATTTGTCCAAATTATATACTTGCAAGAAACTTCATTCTAACTACACGTCGTTCAATTTTACTCACTCACGATGGAAAATATTAATATAAAATTTCGAGACTCAAGAATTTACTTTGTTACTATTAAATCAGTTCTTCCTATTTTTTCGCTGTAACATTTCGATTCTAATAAAATTCAGAGGAAAGTACCTATAATCTAAAAGGATCATTTCGCGATTTTGTATCCACTTTCCTTTCAAGATGAATATTAAAAAAAAGTATTTGAATAACATACTCCCTGGGGCCAGCTAGACCTGATCTCCCCTAATTGCGAAAATTATGGCGGCTCAAGGTTGCCGGGTGTGCGCGATGGAAACGAAACGGATCGCCATGAATGAATATGAGAGCGGCGAGCGT